CCCCCCCACACTTACCAGTCAGATACGCTTGTCCCCGCTGCCGGTCCCGAAGCGATCCTACGTTCCCCGAACTTTCCGGGTTGGGGGGGAGGGGAGGATACTGCCATCAATCAAAGAGAGAAGGGACTGCCAGAGGGCTGTGTGTGTCTATGGACTCACACAGCCACTGCGGGCACGGGTGCCTCCATTAGAACGATGGTGGCACCCGTACAGGGGGCGGGGGGAAGATTCCTGCGGGGACCCACTAGAAAATTAGGAATTAACAACTTTTAAAGAAAATCAGCAACAGCCTCCAGCAATGGTGGGTCTCCTTGTAGGACACATTTTAAAAAAGGAGGTTTTAATATCACTTTAAAGATTGTGTACAGTGATTGTTCAATCAGATAGTATACTGCAAGGTCAGTTTAAGAGACGTTATCAGTCGGCAAACAGATGGAACAAATGTCTCTCTACAGTGTGAGCCACACAGGTAGTATGTAATATTGATTAATTTCACATAACTGCATAATACACCTAATGAAATACCTTTATTGTGATTAGGAAGCTCATTTATTAATTAAGAAGATTTTTTTTTTTGAAAATGATTTACTTAACGTATCATTATAATTGTGATTGTTTACATGGGTATAAAATGATATGTATAATCAAAAACATATTTCAGTAGTAAAAACATAGGAACAACTTACCAGCAGAACTGGTCGGATGGACATGATTGTATTGCTGCTTCCTCCCCAGTCCATATGACTCTTATATCGTCCTTTTTCCAGTATATACTGCTCACCGCAGTAATGTTTCTGCTGATATGCCACCCACCTAAAAAAAAAAATTATATACAGCATACCGAATGTGACAGGAAGAAACCAGCAGGAAGCTCCTGTGTTTAAGAAGGTGAGGAAATCCATTTAAACTCATCACTGCTGCCCGTCTTGTGTACAGACCCCAGTCAGGATGGAAGCTCTGAATTCCCACCTATGCTGAGAGTTCATTGGACCTGATTTCTCTTCTCATAAACAGCTCCTTTCCCCTGATATCAGCATTACTAATTGCACTGTTGCCACAAATGATAAACAACAGTACAGACTATTGTCGAGTTGATCTACAGAAGAATACGGGTGATTACTACAGGTGCATAGGGGTGATCACTATAGAAGAGTATGGGTGATCTTTTCTGCGGTATATGATGGTAGGACTCCTAACTCTCCGTATCAAAGATTGAGAGTGACGTCAGGAGTTCAACACTGATTACCGTACCACCAGATTCAAAAAACATTTCACCTGTTACTAGCTTCCACAGCTGAGATTCACCCCCTATTGGCCAGGGCTTGACAATGGGTGATCACTACAGATGGGTAGGGGTGATCATCACAGAAAGGTATGGGTGATCACTACAGAAGGGTATGGGTGATCACTACAGATGGGCAGGGGTGATCACCACAGAAAGGTATGGGGGATCACTACAGATGGGTATGGGTGATCACTACAGATGGGTAGGGGTGATCAACACAGAAAGGTATGTGTGATCACTACAGAAGGGGTGATCACCACAGAAAGGTATAGGTGATCACTACAGATGGGTAGGGGTGATCACTACAGATGGGTAGGGGTGATCACCACAGAAAGGTATGGGGGATCACTACAGAAGGGTATGGTATGGGTGATCACTCCAGAAGGGTATGGGTAATCACTACAGAAGGGTACGGTATGGGTGGTCACTACAGAAGGGTACGGTATGGGTGGTCACTACAGAAGGGTATGGGTGATCAGCTCTTGTAAGTGCTGGCAACGGCCTCTCTTCCACCATAATGCCCCTTAGATCTCCTCCTGCAATTAAGAGGGATGTATGTTTTTTTCTCAATTTTTTTTAGATACACGTTTTAAAGGTCAGTTAGATGTAAATAATTGGATCAATGTAATGTTTTCATAACATCCCTTCCGTATAAAATGTGTAACTATAAATGAACATGGAGGCAGACATATTTGTTCATTACTTATGGAGGCTATGCTTCCTGTATTGCAGTGCTGCACCGTGGTTGCATTTCACTGCTCCCGTAGGGATTTATGTCAGCCTTTGCTATAGTCAGATATCTGCCACAGCTTCTCAGAGCCAATGCAGCCTAACCCCACATATACTGGAGTAGGAGAAGGCAACAGCACAACACAGAATGATGTGACAAGAGGTTGCAGTCCTGGTTACATTCACATTATACTTAGGACATTTACATGCTATTTTTGGGTGGTACTAGCAGTTCACTCTCTGACCCTATTTGTTTCCCGAAGTGACTTTTTTAAAGTGTAGCAATGCTTAGCAGTTGATCAGAATGCAGCTCTCAGACTGTCAGAGAGGCAGCCTAATAAAAGTTTCTACTAGACTTGTAAAGCTCCTCTCCATGACCTTAAAAAGAGGGTTTAAGTTCTCAAACGTCACAGCAAGTCAATTATGAGATTTGTACCAGGTTTACTAAACATTTGTTTAATTGTTTCACAGTTCCCGAGTTTTATCTCTCTGTACATCTTGTTTTCTTATTAAGATACCTCCGTTTCATGGGCACTGATTAGCCAAGCATCATTAATGGGAAATACACTATAAAGCTTAACGACATGAAGCTGTAGTTTGCCATCAGTTGTGAATTGCAATCTCCAGCATTATAAGACTTTAGCAGCCCAGAGCAGATACAGAATTCCTCAGTAAATATTGTTATTCAATACAATTGTGCATAAAATTGATTTGCCTGGTAAGTATATGCAACAATTACCATCAGTCTTCTTTCTATATTGTAATCAGTTTAGTTTAATGTACGAAGTGTCTGTCTTTCCGCACCTTGAGACCATACTGTGCCTTCCTTAAATGTTCTAACCTGCTCTAGTCACAAGAAAGGGAGAATCGGATTGGGTGTTTGGAGGAAAAGAACCTGAGTCTTTGTGCATGAGGCCTATTGCTGCAATGGCCCTGTTCACACAGCTGTATTCCTTGTGGCATTTAAATGTATATTAAACTGCATGTCAAATGTGTGATAAGATATCAAACCTTATAGTCAATGGAAATGGAATTGCATGAAGCAAACGCTGAGATCAGATAACGCTAATAATGGCTATAATGGCTTGGGTCTTATCATGCATTTTGCTTGCAGTTTCACAGGCACTTAACTGCACCAAAATACACAAGGGTAAATGGGGACTTAAGGTTTTTTTTTAGGTTTCTTGGGTCTCTATCAATTCTAATTGTCCGCGGTTAAAAGAGGAATAAAGAAATAGAAACTCAAGGAGGTTAGAGCTACATAGTTACACAGTCAGGTTGAAAAAAAGACACAAGTCGTTTGAGTCCAACCAATAGCAAAATATATAAACAAATAAATAGAAAACCTCCATAAATAGAACTCTATGCCCACAGTTGCCCACACTTGATCCAGAGGAAGGTAAAGAAAAGCCTTATAAAGCATGGTTCAATTTGCTCCAACAGGGAATAAAATCCTTTCTCGTCCTGTCACGCAATCAGATACTCTCTGGAAGTACTCTCTATCGGGAAGTGAGTGAGCAAAGGTATGTGTTCGCTCACTTCCTGATCAATAGAGCTGACCTGTGACAGTTTCACTGTCACAGGTCGGCTCTAACTATGAGGGTAAATCACTCACCTCATAGTTTTCCTTTAACATACTGTGCTAGCTACCCCTTTTCTAATTCTACAACAATTTCTTAGTCATTTTCCCTGAGGTGATCCATATCTGTGTCTATGGTGGCATGTGCTCCACCATTATTTTGCCTGGAATTGTTCAGAAAACTGAGATGGGAAGAAGGAGATTCTAGACTTAAAATAGGACTCCAATTAAAACATGTTTTACTGTTGTTCTGGATGCAGTAGAGTAGACATGTTTCAGATTTATATGTCTGTCAAGGTCCACACTGTGATTTGCCCTCAGTTCCTCCCCCATTATATTGGTCACAGGTCCCTTGTGCTTAGTGAAAACCTTCCTACGGTGGAAAACTTCCTACTATGATTAGACTCAACTTTATCTCCTTCCCCGCACTGACACAAAAAGAGGAATCCGCACAGGGAAGGAAGTTCCTGCTTAGTACTATTAGCTGCTTCTAAGCTGCTTGCAAGTGTCTATGAAACAAGCTCTACCACTGGATGTCAGTTGTTGGATTCATTGTCCCTGATTGCAAACAGTGTGCACGGCTTTCCTAGCAACCCAGTACATGAAGGAGGCATTAGAGGGCCTCTTGCTCGGTAAACACCTGCATTGGTATTTCATCTGGCATAGAAATACTCCTGGGAAATAAGAGATGATAGTTATAAACGCTGCATTGATAACAGAAACTCATAAGTGAGTGAAAATTGTCTGACTGCAGTAGGGACATAATCTGTTCCTTGACCATCTAAAAGTCCTGATTACAGCAAATGCATTAACACTCAACTTAAAGATACTCTACGGGCAGTAAAAGATGTAATAGACGAACACCCTGCTTTTTAGAGCTTAATATTTCCCAGGCATATTCCATTACAGAGAGGAAATTGCCTTCTTATTAACAGAGCATGGTTATGATATGACACAGATAACTATTAGCGGCATAGAGAAGAACGCAGGGCGTATTGTAGGATAATAGACTCAACTAGCTTTCCTGCTGATCCAGTAGACAAATATCACTTAATTTACAGAATTTTACTCACATTCCTTTTTTCACATGGATACATTGTGGTCTGGTGTTATATCCGGCTAGTTTCAGATCGGGAATCGCCTGATTGAAGAGATCCACATGTTTTCCATCCTCTGAATCTGATTCCAACAAGGTGACAGATGCTTCCAAAAAATTCTAAAGTGAAAACATAATTTTGATAATAACAGAATGTTAGGTTTTAATAAAATCTGGACAGAAACTGTATTTTTTTAAACTAAAGCATATATCTAGAACACAATGAATGTTATTGTAATGGTGAACTGTCCTCTTAATACCGGAGTGAGAAGGGCCCAGTGGAAGTGGCCATTCTCTGAATGCTGATACATACCAGTTTCTCCATTCCCGGCCAAGACAGTGAATGAACTGTTCAGTTTCACTGTGACTGACGTGTCTGCTGTGAATTATTATGCGGCTATGGCCGCATAGCTCTAACTGTGAACTTCCCAGCCAGGTAAGTAAGCAAGATTTTATTTACAATGGAAGCACAGTGGCTTAGAGGTTAGCACTTCTGTCTTGCAGTAGTGGGGTCCTCATTTTGAATTCCAAACAGGGCACTACTAGCATGGAGTTTACATGTTCTCCCTGTGCTTGTAGCGCTCTACTCCCTGCCCAGCCCGGCCTCCTGAAGGTTTCTCTTCTCTCCACTGGATACTGCTTTGTGCCATAGGGGGGACACAGCAGGGCCCAGCGGAGAGGACTATAGATGCACCCCAATTTCGGCTGAAAAATTGTACTTTTGGCATTTTGGCCAAAGCACAATTTTCAGGCGATATGTTTCAGCGGCCGAAATTTTGGTGCATCCATAGTTAAAATACATGTATAATTTCGGTTTACCTGTCAAAACATTTGTATTTCCATGCAGCCGGTCTTGTGTTACACTTATTTTCCACACGGCAAGCGCTGACAGTTAACATATTCCATGTACATCATCGCAATTCCCTTTGTCATCTCTCAATGGACATAATTAAACATTATCATTTCTGTCCACTAAACAGGAAGCAGAACTAGAGCCCCATTCACACCTGCTGCACGTGGTTTTGGGCATTTGTAAAGGGCAGCCCATTCATTTCAAATGCGGCAAAGAAGCTCATGCAGCCGTCTACCGAATTTGGGTGCCATTAACAAATGTCAGTATGCCAAGCGCAACACATGCTTTTTACACATTGCGTGAACATGTGCAAGAGTGCGTGCTTTTGTTCGCGTCAGGCGTGAATGTTGCCTAAGAAATAGTAATGCTGCACCAGGACTTAGCAGAGAGATGATCTAATTGGCTAACTGCGTGTATCAAACATTATGTCTATCACTATTGCTACAGCCTCAATAATGCATGGAGAAAGATAACTGTACAGGGATAATTTTGTTCTGCCAACAAAAGCAAGAAAAAAAAATGATAGAACATTTATAACGTTTAGCAGTTTTTTACGTTGCTTGTATTTCCGTTGCTGCTCGTAACACTACCATGCCTCAAGTCCTATATTGTGTTCAGTACACTTTGAACAGCATTGACTCAGGTTTGTCTGTTTGCCAACCAGGTGGAACTGGAAACACAACTTTGCCCATTCAGTGTGGTTCTTAATTGGCACAACTGAACACTGATTAATCCAAAAGGAATGCATGTGGGCCGTTATGCCGGTGGACACCCTTTATTGAAACCCAACGTATTTGAGTTAAACTGTAACTGAGTGAACTGCTTCAAAATAAAACCTGAATTATACTAATAAATTCAGCCTCAAGCATTTTTTATAAGCTTTTATTAAAAAAAATATAT